ATCCCCCGATACTGGGTTCGCCACTGAATTTTCCATCATTTTATCCTCGGACGATGAGGTAAGCGTTGAGCACCATGGTACCAAGTTCGACGAAATGTCAAGTGCAGAATCTAAATCATCGAACAGCGTGCTCGATTAAGTTTTCAAGGTCAGGGATCTATCGAATCACCGTCCGACTCGGATGAGTGGCTGGCTCATCTTCCACATCCAGAAATAATTGTCATAAGTTCAGACGATTCTGATGGAGAAAGTGGATGAGAGGCTTAAAATGTCGATAGCAATGCAAGTGTGTAATTAAAGGCCCTTTTGTAGGAAATTATGTATAGTGTTTTGTAGTAGGGATGATTTTGGTCACGTCCTCTGCGTATGTGCAACAATAGCATGTCCAAATGGGTAACCGCTATAGCGTATTTTTGGAAGTCGTTATTGTTCCCAACTGTCGAGAATTACAGAACCCATCTGTCGGGAACGACATATGAACTGTCGGGATGTAATGTTTGTGTTTTGCTTGTGAATTGTCGTTTCATGAAAATCAATTTTCCATTTCGACAAACTGTCAATCGAAACTAATGGAACCATAATGATCGGTTAAGTTTATAATGAAAATAACGTATACATCATGTCTGTGCTAATGGAACCGTAATGATCAGTACTTTACTTGCAAAACATAACGACCAATTTTTATTGGCATATGATAATAACAACAAATTAATAACATAAGTTCATAATGTACACTGCATAGGTGGGAACATTTTCGGGATTACATTTGACAATCACTTTTACCACCAATTTAAGTGTTCATCGTCGCGTATTTCAGCCGGAGATATATTCAAGTTAGGGATTTTGAACTTCAATTCAATTTGAGTGTGGAGATCAAGAATACCGAGTTTGTCCTTCAGCCTTAACAAAAGTTCGGCTATGGTAATACTTATCGGCACCATAATGGAAGTGGTTTGTCCCCTCTCCACTTCCATTTGTCATCCGCATGAACAAACTTTCTCCTATGCGACACGATGAATCTCAAATAATTACTCATACCTAAAATGTTGGGATCACAACGATAAGAATTCAGAATCAACATGTTGGCATTTAATAGCATGAAAGTGGCACTGCATAATACGTAAATCCGTATAATAGCAAAAGGTCAAATCAAGGGTTTCCATCGTTTTGAAGTGTCCGAATTGAAAGCAAAATTGTATAACCTGACAGTTTGTAAATGTCGGGTTCGACATCTCAAACGTCTAACCCGATGGTTTGTAAATGTCGAACTTGACAGTTCAACTGTCGAGAATGTCGGGAAGCAGACGACAATGGGTTTTTCAAGCTTCTTCAACACATCACATTAAATGTGGTCATTAATATTCAGCTACAAAATGACAAAATGTAAATGGCATCTGAGTCTTGTCATTAAAAAAACATTAATGGTGGTAATGGAAGAAATTACTCAAAACCTTAATGGTGATAATGACATTTTGTAAAGAATTCCAAAACCAAACAAATGAATGCATAATACTTTCGAAAATTTCAAAGAAATATGCCCATGTTGCATTTAACATGTACAAATAAAAAGTTATAAAAGTAAAATATAAATAATTTGTAATTGCTAACCTCTCAAAATGGATGAAGAATGCAACACAAATGTCTTCTTGATCAATGAAAATGAAGAAGATGGAGAAAAGGTAGGGTTTCTTGTTTATGTTACGTTTTCAAATTTCTTTGGTGATTTTTTATTCACAAAAATTCATATTAATCAATAAAAAATACATTTCTCCATGTTTTCTATATAGAAATTAAATGATCACATCAAGTCAATGCTTTTCCTTCAAATCAAGCATTTAATGCTACTAGAAATGTGTCATTAAGGGTAATTTGGACTTTGCACCCAAAAAATGTGACATTTTTGCTTACAAAAAGTGAAAATGACAAATTTTTTGGAACTTTCATTTTTTGTGACATTTTTGCAAATTCCCCTAAAAGAAATCCACCCCACCCCACCCTCATGAAAACAAAAAGGCTGAAGGTCAACACTTTCTTCTTTCCCTATCTCCAACCCACACCGGTCGTCATCCAAACCCACATCGCTAGTTGTCACACGACACCCACATCCCTGGCATCACTTTTCGAAGACAGTCTCCACCACTCAAAAGTCGTTGGGTAGATTATAAAAATAGAAATCATCGATGTGCAGAATATGAAGTCAAAATTGGAGCAATTTGTGACACAATTGAATCAATTGAGGGTATACCCATCATTATTCGGTGTTGCTGATGGATTATGGGTTGAATTTGGTAGGAAAAGACCAATTTTGTGAAAAACCATTCCCAAATTTTGTCAATCGACAAAATTGCCTCGTTTTGCTATCGACCTAAAACCTCTGTCAAACGGAGTTGTTTTTGGATAATGTCTCAGCATGAATTGAAGCACCTAAGTGAGGTAAATCGATTGGCAACGATGCCCGACTATATGCGTCATTGAAGTTGCCGAATTTTGAAGTTTGACCGCAAAACTGTATGAATTTCCTTGGTTTTGTTTTTAAATGTGCAATGACAAAATATGGTGGCAGTAAAGGGTGCCAAAATTGGTAGGGGGTGGTGGTGGCGGCAGTGTAGGTTGAAGGTGGCATGGTGACTTTTTTGGTAAGGCTTGCCGAAGGAGAAGAAGATAGGTGGTTTTGATTGGGGGTGAGGGGAGATGTTTTTGATTTTTTATTTTTTTTTTCCTAATTTTGTTTGATTTTTTATAATATGGAATTAATTAAGTTACCATTTTACCCTTACCAAATTTGGTCAATATCAATTCTTTGGTCAACTAACGATCATATTGATGGTTTCCATCCAGTTGGACCTATAGTGCATATTTTCGAAAGGTTAGGGATCTTCGCTTACACAAAATGAAGGTTACGATAAAGCCTATAAAAATTGAAAAGGTCTGGGACCGCTATTGCAATATCCCCTTAAAATTATCCTTCGAACCTTAAACTCTTCACCTAAGCTTCGAAATACACAAACATGAATAGTGTCATAAGGTCAACTTTAGCCACGTATGTTCATGTTCAATAATGCTACAGTGACATAACGATTGACATAATACCACGTGACGTTCTATTATTGGATTGTTTAAAATATAATCACACTTTTGATCCAATCACAAAATGCAACACTATCTTTTGTCAAACAATCTAACCAAATTCTTCCGTTAATGTGGCATTTTACGTTCATGTTACATTTCCATTAAGAAGTCTCTCTCAATTCTTGAGGCTCACAAGTTTATAAGAACTTTGCACATACAAGCAATTGAATACAACCGAAAATTTATAGAAAACTTCCAATTTTTGTTAACTATTTAAAATAGGATTAATAAAAGCTAAAGAACAACGTAAGCTCACCTAAAAAATAATCGATTTATCTATATTAATACTTGGTACACTATGTTAATGTATATTATTTAAGTGAATTACACTTCAATTATAAAATTCATTTCAACATCCTTCATTAAAATCACTCTTTGTTAGGTTATATTTTATTTCAAGAAATTAGTAATTAATCAAAAGTAAAAGAAATTAGGGAAAATTGTAGCATCGATCCCTAATCTTTTCATTTTTTGTAAACTTTACTCTAACCTTCATTTTGTACTAGTAAAGGTCCCTAACCTTTCATAAATATATACTTGAGGTCCATCTAGACGGAAACTGTCCAAAATACCATTAGTTGACATGGAAAATTTTTTGAACTATCTGCTATCGCGATGATTTTATTGAATGTTAATACCTTTTTGGATGGTGTTGTTGGACAGTGTTTTGGACGGTTTCCGTCCAGATGGACTTTCGATGCATATTTATGAAAAGTTAGGAACATCTGTCGGTACAAAATGAAGGTTAAGATAAAATTTATAAAAAATGAAAAGATTAGGGACCGTTGCTGCAATTTTCCCAAGAAATTATAAGTAAAAGGCAAAAACAAAGGAAAAAGATAAAAAGAGTGAAGGCATCAAATCATCATCTCAACCCCAACGCAACATAATAAGAATACTGCTATTTGTAGCCCCCTAGGGCACATCCGAGTTGGTGGAACAATCACTTCGCTGGGACGCTGGAAGCAAGGGTGGAGAGTTCGATTCCTGGAGTTAACACTGGGTGCTAAAATGGAGGGGAAGCCATTTGGTTGAACAAACGCCCAGCGAGGAGAGCTCTCTTTGCGGAAGGAGTCCAAATGAGTTGTGGGAACCTGGGAGCCAACAAGGGCACATCCTGCGATTTACCTCCCTGAGCTGCTGAGGGGCCGGAGGTTCAGGGACAAGGATCTAGTCGGACGCAAACCCGGACACCTTGTAAAAAAAAAACTTTCCCCAGGGTGCTATAAATTCTAAATTTCATTGGAGTAGAAGAGAAAGGGATAATATCATAAAGAAAAATGGTGGACCAGCTAACCGACGATCAGATCTCCGAATTCAAGGAAGCCTTCTCCCTATTTGACAAGGACGGCGATGGTACGTGTGTGTGTTTGTGTGTGTGTGTTCGTGTATTTATGTGTTGGAGTGATTTGTAAGTAGTTATTATATTGATGTATTGTTTTTTGTAAACTTTACTCTAACCTTCATTTTGTACTAGTAAAGGTCCTTAACCTTTCATAAATATATACCTGAGGTCCATCTGGACGGAAACTGTCCAAAATACCATTAGTTAACATGGAAAATTTTTTGCACTATCTGCTACCCGATGATTTTATTGAATGTTAATACCTTTTTGGATGGTGTTGTTGGACAGTGTTTTCGACGATTTTATTGGATGTTCATTCTTTACTTTTCTCGATCAACTGAAGGTGTTTTGGACGGTTTCCGTCCAGATGGACTTTCGATCCATATTTATAAAAGGTTAGGAACATCTGTTGGTACAAAATGAAGGTTAGGGTGAAATCTATAAAAAAAATGAAAAGATTAGGGACCGTTGCTGCAATTTTCCCAAGAAATTATAAGTAAAAGGCCAAAACAAAGGAAAAAGATAAAAAGAGTGAGGGCATCAAATCATCATCTCAACCCCAACGCGACATAATAAGAATACTGCTATTTGTATGTAATACCACTCTTTCCCTGCAATTTCTTCGTTTGACGCATACCCACACATCCCCTACCCTTTCCCCAGGGTGCTATAAATTCGAAATTTCATTGGAGTAGAAGAGAAAGGGATAATATCATAAAGAAAAATGGCCGACCAGCTAACCGACGATCAGATCTCCGAATTCAAGGAAGCCTTCTCCCTATTTGACAAGGACGGCGATGGTACGTGTGTGTGTGTGTGTGTGTGCGTGTATTTATGTGTTGGAGTGATTTGTAAGTAGTTATTATATTGATGTATTATTTTAAGATATATAAATATGTGTAAACTATGTATTTGTTAAAAGGAAATATTGGTTTTTTGTTTGTTCATATATTATTTTTCAGATCTGTTTGCTGGTTCTTGAATCGTTTTTTCCCTGCATTTATATTCTGTGTTTCTTCCATTTTTCTCATGCCCCTTTATTTTTTGTTTCTATTATAGGTTCTTCGTGTTTATCGTTCTATGATCTGTCTTAATTCTGTGCTACAAAAGTAGATCAGCCTGTTGATTCCGGACGAGTGTGTAAATCTGTATTTCTACAAATGCTTTGATTTTGTATTACTATTACTTTTACAGGTTATTCTTATTTGAAGTGGATTTCGATTGAGAATGAATTTATCATAATTTTAAATGACAAAAATAAATCAAATTGTTGTTTGAGGCCTGGAGGTTTTTAGGGTTGGTTTATGTCTTTAGGTGCCGCCAAAGGAGGATGGATTGGTGTAATATTCATTTTCTTATTGCACAAATGCAGTTGAGTCTTTAGGGTTGTAAAGATGGTTATAAGTTCAGTATGTTAATTTGTGCTAAAACCTGATGGGTGTTTTGAATTGCATTATTTTGGAACTTCAATTATGTGGTTGCTGAAACTAAGGGTTATTTATGTCAACTAATATTTAATCGACTGACCTGCTCCACTGTTCATTGTAGAATTAAATTAACTATTGAGTTAATATTAAACTTTACACAGGTCATATGAACTTGATCATCATAAATACCTCTTTGATTTGCCTTTTCTAGTAATGCCTTCATGATGCAGAATTTGAATATGTAAGGCAAGATCTTTACGTGGCTGAAAAAGTCTCTTCCTATTGAGTTGAACTTTAATTGCATATCCACGTAAATGGAGAAATCGTATTTGTGTTTACAGTCCCCATTCTTTAACAAGTTGATCTTGTTCTCATATTAACTGATTTAACAACTTCTTCCAATCTATTATGATCGAATTGCACTCAAAAGATATTTTAGATACTAATACCTTTCTCCATTCTTTCTTGACCTGTTCATTTGCATCTATACGGTACACTTTTTGCCTCATATGCTTGTACCATAATGTGTATTCCTATTAATGTTCATATCAGCTACTTAAGATGAAATCTTGTCAATGAATTTCTCCATTTAGCTCTTATATGCTTCAGCTGAATACACTGCTACAGGTTGCATCACTACTAAGGAGCTTGGGACTGTGATGCGCTCTCTGGGACAGAACCCAACTGAGGCTGAGCTTCAAGATATGATCAATGAGGTTGATGCTGATGGGAATGGGACAATTGACTTCCCTGAGTTCCTCAACTTGATGGCCCGGAAGATGAAGGACACTGATTCCGAGGAGGAGCTGAAGGAAGCTTTCCGGGTTTTTGACAAGGACCAAAATGGTTTCATTTCTGCCGCTGAACTCCGCCATGTCATGACAAATCTCGGTGAGAAGCTTACTGACGAGGAGGTTGATGAAATGATTCGAGAGGCCGATGTGGATGGTGATGGGCAGATCAACTACGAGGAGTTTGTCAAGGTCATGATGGCCAAGTGAGAACTTAAATTTTTTGATGAATGAAGATAGACAAGAAAAAGGAAGGACTGGTCTATTTATGAGATTTCCATTTCTTGTTAGGACGTGTTCTTTCAGCATTATTAATTTTGTTTGAATTCTTGCATGTTTCTACGTTTTGCATCGTTTTTAAGTGCTTTTCTTCAGTACATGCTTGTTTGCTATGTGCCCTGTTTTAACATTCCAGGTTGTTAGTGTCTTCAACTAAAACTTTCGGTATTATTAACGTAAAACAATTGGAGAACTACGATGTTTTTCACAAGTTTGACAGATTATGTTGATATTTTTCCCTTATTAAGCTTGTCTCCCGGTCGTATATGTTTAGCCCTTCCGCTCTGGATTCTGTATATGTTTAGCCCTTTCACATTGGATTCTGTATATGTTTAGCTCTTTCGAGTTGACATAATGGTTGGATTCCGATGAACAGGATTGCCCGTTGTTTCAGCTCTAGCTCATGACTGCATAATATTACCATAGAAAGTCGTTTTCCCACGTATAGTGTACTAGTGCAATACCTGTTGACCCTAATCTTGAGAGGTCTTGATTAAAATTTTCGTTTTCTTGAAGTAGACTGCAGTCAAGATTGCTCGAATGAGGTTGACTTTAAAAATCTGAGGAAAAAACTTGTCTAATCTGTAATAGACTTCCAAATGAATTTAAGAGTCTGTTTGGGAGTAATTTAGAGAATTAATTTTTTGATCGTCAAGAAAAAAGTGGAGTCCGCTTGTGAGAGAAAAATCAAATATGACGGCTAAAATAGTGAAATAACGGTTAAAAAATTAATTTTTTGGGGGAAAAAACACTCCCAAGCTCTAAATGGTGGTACCTAATCAAACTCGAATCCATTTAAGCTTTCACTGGATTGATTCAAAAATTTACTGGCTTGTTTGGTACAGATTTTCTTCTTTTTCTTGAGAATGTATGATTAGATGGTGGTGGAGAAATATATTACGATTGCAAATGATTTTGGAGAAAAATGATTTTAGGAAAATCTTTGACAAACGATATCTTAGAAAAGTCAACTCAATCCCTATCGAGAATACTCAGCTAGGATTAAGTTCATGTGATTGAGCTTTTGGTTTTGAAGAAATTCGTGTTTGCTCTCCTAAAAAGGTTCACGAGTCTCTTAGGATTTCTTACTTTTTTCACTCTTAAATTAAAGCTTGGTCATGAGCTAGTAAAATTTAAACCCTTTTTCATCGCCATGTTTTTAAAAATTAATTTTCCACTCCCACATTCTTTTATAAAATAATTTTACATGTAAATTCGAAACTTTTCTATGCAAAAAAGTCACTACTGCAAAATCCATTCCCCTCGAGTTTAGTTCTCTAACAGGGACTAAGTTATGAGGTAAAATTGTCACGAGTTCACAAGTGCACGTATTTGGCCAAAAGTATGATTGGTGAAGAAAAATGGCTTTCTGCGGCATAGTGCGATCAAGTGGTTTGTGAACTTGAAATTATGCACCAATTAAGCCATATAGATATGAATAAAGCTATCTAGGAAAAGAGCATCAGTTTAGGTAGCTAAACCTTACTGATTGAATTAAGAGTCACACGACTTTATATTTAAATGAATTTATCTTTTAGGACCATATAATTACCACACAGACTAGTGTATATGGTGATGAATAGCATTACTCGATAGATATTCATTTCATTTTTAACATTCAACAAGTTAACGGAGCCGGATAAAGTGACTCGACAAATAATTTACTAAAGCACACAATACAAAAAAAATTAAGAACAAGTTAAACATTTAATATTGGATAAGAAAATCATGGACAAAATTTAAATTTTATTTAGCACAGTCTAATTCCGGGCAATCCATGCAACTTGCCTAGTCCATAATGTTATTCTGGCATAACACGTTCACGTAATAACAAACACCCTCTAGATCCAAACCATATAAGCAGAAAATACAATGCATACGCCAAGGCAGACTGATTCAAGAATGCAATAATAAGTTTTGCATACTTCCAACATCTGAGTGAGAGAACAGATTGTTTGTGTTATTCAGCTGCATGTTTTCAATTATAATCGGGTTTTTCAAACCCAGAACGGCAGAAAGCAGAAGCAACATAACTGCAATATACAGCAAATAAAAGAGATAATATTGCTTCTACGAACCAAAAGAATTCGAACCAATAAGAATCAAATGCCTCCATTTGGTTCGCATCAAAGAAGTTGAAAAAACTCGTGATGTCCTAAATCTTTACACCTTCCTTCCAAAAGCAGCAGTTAAAAACCCTTGCAGACATCTAACAATGATTAAACAAGATGAAATGCTTGATTTGTAAACAACAACAGAATTCGAGCTCCCACACAGGTTCATTTCGTTCACCCTATATCCATATGACAGCAATCTCAAGACACTCGGTTTCCAACCGTTTGATACAGGGACCTAAGCTGTGTGTTCCATTTCTCTATTGCATTGTACTTCTTCATTCCCTTTGACCTGCATGCATATATTATCGTGACAAAAAATAAAATTGGATGGGAAAAAAGGAAGCTGTACTTGGGAAACCAGGATGAAATTTAGCAAAATAAAAAGTGGAAGGAAGAAGTTGATAAGTCAACCTGTCACCACGTTCCAAGAGCCGATTCACTTGGTCAATGTGCCCATGAATACGATTGTCCAAGATTAGGGACACTAACAGCTCCTCGACATCTTTTTCTGGCACATTAAGTTCCTGCAAGTGAAAAGTTTTAGTGCTTCTCCATAAACCACCTGCTGCAGCCTTTACTTATTGTGCATCTTAATTATTTTCAATGATCATCCTGCTGAACAAATGCGTATTCTTCAACTACACATAGGTGTTGCCTGTAATCATATCTTCTAAACTTCTAAAGCCAACCTATCGTCTATGAATTGAAATAAAAAGTCGATTAGCAAATGATATGACTCAATGATCCACACAATTTCAAAAATTCAGTGAAGTCCCATGCTTTCACGTGGAAGATAGAGTAGAATTTAACAAACCAACCACAGCATCCATACTCGTTGTATGCACCTTCGAGAAAAAAGTAGACAGAAAGAATAAAGAAGAAAAACCAAACAGCGTGGGAGAAAAATATTCAATAATCCCTGGCAAAATAAAAGAAAAGTACATTAACTCTCATCATCACCTTTGATATAAAGGGGATCCGAATTCTTGTATAAGGCTTAATAAGCTTAAGCAACACTTGTGTTCTCACATTCTTCAAAAGATCTTCAATATAATTTCGGATAAATGGATCATCCATTATCGTCCTTCTATTACTCTGAAAAAATTCCCACCAGATTTTGTTTCAGAACAAGAAACAAGATAGACTGGAAGTATTCCAACGGAAGATATCATGTGTTGGCATGCAATAATATACCTTCAGAATTTTCTCAAACTCCAATATCTCATTCCGTTGATATGCCGCTATTAGGTTTGTCATGGCCAATACCTCAGGGTCATTTTTATAACTGCGAGTAACAAAATCAAGTGAGGTGGAGGGTCAATAATTCTACGCTGATGGAACATAATAAGTTGCTAAAACCCATCAAACAACTTACGGCTTAGCCTCTTGACCGTCAAATGGGTTGACCTCAGATTCCATCAGCATATTAGCCAGAACTAAATATCTGCCAGGGAGGGGAACCATCATGGACAACATTAGAATGTGAAGGATTGGATTTCAGTTGGAATCCAGGCAAGCGGCAAGGGTTGGATTTCATGCAAGCAGCACAGCTAAAAAAATTACTCGCTCCTAACACAAATGAATTCTCTCATTTCCTTTACAAGACATCCCCAAACAATATCTTCATAACTGTAATCATTCACCTTCCGAAATGGCTTTACTTGAAGTACATTATATGACAAGCGAGGAATTTTTGCCATTAATTTTAAGGGTTAAAAATGATAAGTCAAGCCACATGCTCATGGATTCATCCCTAACCTAAAACAACGTGCTCCTGCAGGAGCTACCAGCAGGAGTATATTAACAGGCTCAGATTCTGCTTGTGAAACTTTATGTTTATCATAAACAAATTTTTCGACAGCAATTTTTGTGATATGGCCGTGGGGCTTTTAATTTTTCCCTTTTCCTTCTCTTTTCTCTAATTTGTATTTTAATTAAAATTCAATATTTATCATTTTACATTCAGAAATTTAGTCATGTGACTGTTACGTTATATCTTAACCTTCAAATGGACAGAAACTGTCCGTTAAGGATGCAGATGCTACAAAATCAAAAAATGAGGACCAAGCCGCCACAGATTAAAGATCGAAGACCTACTTTCTCTATAATCAATAGACTGGTAACAGCTGCTATAATTTTTCCTAAAATAATTGTTCGGGTAAGATATACAATTAAGTCAATTTTATGAAGTTGGTCTTTTACTTGTTTCATTCGATAATTTACATGCATACAACGGAAATAAGAGGAATGCATCCTCGAGTTTTTTTATGCAACGTAATAAGTTGAAAGTGCCAATCTTTGCGTGCATACAACGGAAATAAGAGGAATGCATCC